GACCTACTATCAAAAGATCCCTAATAGCTTCAGTTTTGTTGTTTATGAACAAAAAAACGTTGGTAGAAGCTATGAGCGGATAGACGATGTTGTAAACAAAAAATTCTGGTCACTGCTCTTTTAGTAAATACTGATAGTTGATATATCGAGGCTTTGAGCCTCTCTTGTGGTAATTTGGTGCGTTTATGAATTTGAAATGAAATTTTACTAGAGGAAGGAAAACTAAAAATCTCATAAGCTTTTCTAATCAGAGTCAGGCATCGCTACTCTGGCTCTCATTTTCTTGACCGATTTTTTTCCTTCTGCTCATGTCATATGTTTGACCGCCGCTCAAATTTGTTCGCAGTTATTGTGGCAGTGACTATATAATACTCTTTGAGTAAATGAAAGACCAGACTGCAAAGAATAAGAAGTCCTAGTGCATCATCTGCTTCTTCTGAGCTTACGTTTCTTGGAATCTCGACTGAATTTCGCGATTTATCATAACCTTAGTGGAAGCAAAATCGTAATAACGCTTATATGCTGGTTGGTGTTGATATGTACTTAGTGTCTGATGGCCATTGATTGTTAAGCAACTTTCACAGTACGCATTAATGTGATCAGGTGGCCGAGTGGTTAAGGCGATGGACTGCTAATCCATTGGGGTTTCCCCGCGTGAGTTCGAATCTCATCCTGATCGACTATTTTGATTATGATAGTCCTCACATTCTAGCTAATGTCAACATCCATGGCCAAGCATGTGTATAGCTTTTCTAAAAATTAACAGTGTGGTTAGCCGAAGTTTAAACGATGGTCTGTCAATCCATTGTGGTTTCTTTACGTGAATTCGAATCAACACTCCGTAGTTAGGCAAGGTAGGACTCGTTGTGGAGAAGTAGAGCAGAAATCGTGCGTCTAGTAATCCAAGAAATCGTAGTTTGTAATTCCGTTCTCGACTTTCTCAACCTTACTTTACGATCATCTCCGATAACTGCATTTCATATAAGCAACATTTTAAAAGT